TGCCCCTTGCTCCACCTATCCATGGTGTTCCTACCCCGTGCACCTGGGACGCTTGTTCACACAGGAGGAGTGGATGCAAACGTTCTCTCCTGAGACAGGGAACTCACGCAACGTAGTTGATGGCACCGAAGGTGTTGGTCAGCAGTCGCATGTGTTCCACGTGGGCCAGCAGAATGTCTGGGTCCCTCACTTGAACATAATCCAGGAAATTAAATTCTGTCTTGAAGGTTGAGGAAAACTGAACAGCAGCAAACTGGAAAAGGAAGGGACAAAGGACATCTGGTTGATTTCTTCTCATTTGTCCGCTTCAATCACTCCCTTTAAAAAAAATTTATTGATTCAAGAGGCAGAGAGACAGAGACACGGACAGAAAGTGCTCCCATCCACTGGTTCGCTCCTCCCAATGCCCACGATGGCCTTGGCTGGGGCTGGAGCTGGGGGCCAGAAGCTCAGTCCAGGTCTCATACCTGGGAAGCAGGAACCCCCCTACCTGAGCTTCCCAGGGTCTGCACTGGCAGGAGGCTGGGTGTTGGGAGCAGGAGCCAGGAATCAAACTCAGGGACTCTGATGGGGGATGAGGGTGCCTCAAGAGGCTTTTTTTTTTTTTTTGACAGGCAGAGTGGACAGTGAAAGAGCGAGACAGAAAGAAAGGTCTTCCTTTGCCGTTGGTTCACCCTCCAATGGCCGCCGCGGCTGGCGCGCTGCGGCCACACTGCGCTGATCCGATGGCAAGAGCCAGGTGCTTCTCCTGGTCTCCCATGGGGTGCAGGGCCCAAGCACTTGGGCCATCCTCCACTGCACTCCTGGGCCACAGCAGAGAGCTGGCCTGGAAGAGGGGCAACTGGGACAGAATCCGGCGCCCGACCGGGACTAGAACCCGGTGTGCTGGCACCGCAAGGTGGAGGATTAGCCTAGTGAGCCGCGGCGCCGGCCCTCAAGAGGCATCTTAAACACTGGCTACACACCTGGCCCCCAACCTCTCCTTACGATGGAGCTGGGAACGCAGCTCCACATCCCTGCCTCAGATCAGCCTTTACAGCGAGGCAATAGACAAACACAGCAAAGTCATCCAATAAACCTCCGCTTCCTTATGTCGTGCTGTCTTCTGAGCTTCTGTTTTCTGGGTCTTCCTACCTCACAAACGGTGGTGGCTCCTAGTGGCCATATTAGTGCAGGCTGGCCCCCTACCAAACCAGGCACAGCTGTCTGGGCCAAGAATGACCACCCGACTGAGGCTGGGCCACTCACAGTCTCATCCCTGAAAATTTACAACCTGCAGATGCAGGGGTTGACCCAGTGGGAGTTTACGCAAACAAACGGGCCAGCACTGTGGTGCAGTGGGTTAAGTCTCTGCCTGTGATGCTGGCATCCCAAAGGGGTGCTGGTTCAAGTGCCTGCTGCTCCACTTCTGATCCAGCTCCCTGCTAATGCACCTGGGAAAGCAATGGAAGATGGCCCAAGTGCCTGGGCTTCTGCACCCGCGTGGGAGACCCAGATGGAGTTCCTGGTTTCTGCTTTGGGCCTGGCCTTAGCCCCAGCTGCAGTGGCCATTTGGGGAGTGAACCAGCAGATGGAAGATTATCTCTCTCTCTCTCTGCGACTCTACCTCTCAAATAAATAAATAAATAAATATACTTAAAACAAACGCTAAAGAAAAAGCATTCTGGAACTTTCCACCTGAACTTGGGCCCTGTGAGCCAAAGAAGCCCAGAAACCCAGTTCATAGAGACGGCAAGACAGAGACGGGGGAAGCAAAGGCACAAAAAGAAGCTGAAATGAAAACTAAGGAGACTCCCAGAAGCTTTCCCTCCTCCCTGGACCTTGCCCATTTACAGGCACGCGCCAGGTTCTAGAGACACCTCACACTCAGCGTCCTTTCCTGGCTCATCTCAGTTCTCGCCTGCGCCGAGACTCCCGCCCACGCTCACCTGGTAGGAGGAGTTGCCAAGCTTCTTCATCACGTCCTTCATGAACTCCAGAATCTTCTGAAATTCGTTCTGCTGCAAACTGCCCGAGCCATCGAACAGAAACACCAGGTCCACGTTGCCCTTTATGCACTCTGCAGAGGCACACGGAAGGACCTGTGAGAGTTTTCAGGGTCCGGTCCACCCACGGAAAGGCAGCCCCCGGATGGGATTTTACTGCTAAAACTGGGGCCGGTCGGGGTGGGCGCTTGGCCTCATGGTTAAGACACCCGCGTCCCTCATCGGAGTGCCTGCACTCGGTTTGCAGCTCTGCTCCCAGTTCACAGCTTCCTGCTGACGTAGACCCTGGGAGGCAGCAGACAGCGGCTCAAGGAGTTGGGTCCCTGCCACCCACATGGGAGACATGAGTGGAATTCCTGGCTCCTGGCTTCAGCCCTCAGCCTCGCCCAGTCCTGGAGTTGCAGGCATTTGAGGAGTGAAGTAGCAGAGGGGAGCTGTCTTGTCCACCTTCTCTCTTTGTGTCTACCTGTTGTCTGCCCGCCCGCCACACACACACACACACAGAAAGAAAGGACTGGTCCCTTACCCTGATATCCAGGACGCCCTTGCAACACTGGACCCCTTAGGTCCTGGCGGAAGAGGTAGCACAGGCCACTCAGATAGGTGTTCTGGTCACACGTCCGAGACAGCCCAGGGTCACAGGCCTGCAGAAGTGAAAGCAAAGGGGCTGCAGCTTCCTCTTGTTGTTGTCTCTTGCTCATCATCACCCAGGATGAGAACCCTCCCAGGGCTTGTCCCCTCCTCCACTCCCTGCGTGCAAAGCAAGGTAAGTCTGCCCAACACCGTCCCTCTCAGCCACTCCTCTGTTCTACCAACACGCGGGGTCCCTGGCCATGCACCGCCTGCAGGATGAGGTCTCAACTCCTGCGCTTGGCATCCATCGTGCTCACAGTTGGGCCGGTCCTACGTTTCCTCCCATTCCCAAGCACGCATCCGTGTAAGCCACATCCAGCACTCATTATTCCCAGAACAGACAATGCCTTCTCTTTCATCATGACTGTTGTTTTTGCCAACAACAGCTCCTTTATTTTTCTGACAGGGAATACTTTATTCAAAATCCATCAGAGAGGGCTGGCGCTGTGGCGTAGTAGGTTAAGCTTCCCATGCATGTGCTGGCTCCAGTCCTGGCTGCTGCATTCCCTATCCAACTCCCTGCTAATGGCCTGGGAAAGCAGTGGAAGATGGCCAAGTCCTTGAGCCTCTGTACCCACATGGGAGACCCAGAAGAAGCTCCTGGCTCCTGGCTTTGGATCGGCTCAACTCCAGCTATCTGGGGAGTGAACCAGCAGATGGAAGACCTCTCTCTCTGTCTCTCCCTGTCTCTGTAACTCTACCTCTCAAATAAAGAAATGAAATGCATCTTTTAAAACAAAACCTTAAAAACAGAGCAAATTTAAAAAAAAAATGTAGACACTAATTCTTGTTTCACCTGAGTGAGATAACCAGAATTAAGAATTCGAGCAGGGGCCGACACTGTGGCGCAGCAGGTTAAAGCCCTAGCCTGAAGCGCTGGCATCCTATATGGGTGCCGGTTCTAGTCCCGGCTGCTCCTCTTCCAATCCTGCGCTCTGCTATGGCCTGGGAAAGCAGTGGAAGATGGCCCAAGACCCTGGACCCCTGCACCTGCGTGGGAGACCCAGATGGAGTTCCAGGCTCCTGGCTTCAGCCCATCCTGGTTGTGGCCATTGCAGCCATTTGGGGAGTGAACCCGTGGATGGAAGATCTCTCTCTCTCTCTCTCTCCTCCCCCACCCCCATAACTCTGCCTTTAATTAGTAAATTTTATTAAAAAGAAATAAGCCAGTTCACAGCCATTTCTCAATAAACACTGCCTGAGTGAAAGTCCCTCTGAGCCCCCTGTGAGGTCTTCTGTCTGTTTCCATTCTTTCCTTTTCTCTCCCTCTTTCTTAGCATCCAGCTTTGCAGGCACTCGCACCACCACCACCACCCAAAATTCTCACCAAAAGGCCTCCGGCTGTGGGGTCTGTCACCAAGGTCATCCCCAAGTACTTGGAGGTGTAGTTGGAACCTGTGGGTGTCAGAAGGCACTCGGGCAATCAGGTGTGTTGCGGCCAGCCTTGAGCCCTCTGAAACCCCAGGGCCCCAGCTCCCTTGGCCAGCTACTCACCGCCCAGGCTGACCGGTAGGCAGTGTCCAGTGCCCGGCAGGCACTCGTAGAGGTTTCCTGTGCTGTTCCCCTCGCCCGGAGCGCCCACGACAACCCTGATGAGAAATCTCCACGGTGAGAAAGAGTTGCCGGGTCTTTGTTCACCCACTGCTGCCTTACTCAAGAGGTTCAGCTCTCCCGCTGCGTGTCCCAGAGCCCTGAGCCCGCTCCCCTTCAAGGGGGGGGCTCCCAGCCCCCGTCTCTTCCCTGCTGAGCCCCAGAGAAGTGAACCCCGTGTGCTAGAATTCCAGGAAGCTGAGGATCCTTTCTGCTGGCATCTAGAAAAATCTAAGACCCAGGGAATGATCGGCCAGAAGGTCACATGAGATGTTCAGTCGGTGTTGATTCAAAAGGCCCCTGTGAGAGGCCGGAGTGTGTGCTAGGAACGGGAGCGGAGGACAGAGATAGCGAGGGACATTCGAGAACAAACAACGTGTCTGGGGGAGGGCAGGGCGTTTGGTGCAGCTATGATGCCGGCTGGGACGCTCACATCCTGTGTGCTGGGTTCTGCCTCCAGATCTGCCTCAGCTTCCAGCTCCCCGCTAATGGCAGCAGGTGGCGGCTCAAGTACTTGGGTCCCTGCCACCCTCTCGGGAGACCTGGGTTGAATTCCAGGCAACTGGCTTCAGTCTCTGGCCACCCTGACTGTTGTGTGGGCATCTGGGGAGTGAACCAACTGATGAGTTCTCTGACTCTGCTTTTCAAGTGAAATAAAATACATAAATCATGTTTTTAAAAGAAAGAGCAATGAGCTTATAGATACATAAAGGATGTTGGAAGTGACGCAGCTCACCCGTTTCCAACCTGCAGGACCCGGTACCCAAAGTGCCTCCCGGCGTGTGGGGTGGAGAAGCTTAGCACGTGGTGCACATCCAAGTTGTAGCTCCAGGCCGGTGCTGAGGGAGGTGAAGGGGCATCAGGCGCTTCAGGGTGCACCTTCCCTTGCGTGCCTCACGAGCCCCCGAGAGGCCCCCACCGGCCCTGTCTCTGCCTCCCATGATGCACTGGATAGTCATGGGTGCTGATGGACCAAGGCTCACGTGTGTGTCCCGAGGCTGCCCACGCCTGGCCCCTAGCTGGACTTCCCCCTTGGAGCTTTGCGCCTGGGGAACAGGAGAATCAGGACTCCCTGCAGCTCAGGCTGGCCCTCCCAGGGTCCCAGGACACCACTTCCCTCTTGGCCTCTCAGCAAAAGGAATGAAGAGAAGGCAGAGAGACTTGCAAGGGAGCGGCAGACCGAAGGGGCCCCCCCAGAGGCATGCGGTGGCCAGATGCCCAGCAGGGACTAGAATGGGGATGTCCCAGGGCAGGGGGCGCCTCCCTCCCCAGCACCCACTGCTCCCCTGTCACGGCCCTCATGCTCAGATCAGCCTCAGGCTTCCCCCACCGAGCCCCTGGGGTTTCAGATGTCCCCCTCTTGTGCCCTCTCTGGCTGCCTGTCACACCCCAGAAGCTCCGCCACTCCCCAGCCAGCCAGGAACCAAGGAACCGGCCTCTCCCGAACCCTTAGATCCCCTCTTCTCCCCCCTCCCCGAGAGGCTGGGCATCACGTGCCCACCCCCAAACCGTCTTTTCTGCCACTGCGTTCCTCTGGGTGCAGCTGCGGGCACCCTGGGATGCCAGGGCAGCTGGCGTGGCTGCACGGGCTCAGACGGAGGGAGTGAGCCCGCCGCGGAGGCAATGTCACCAGCAGGCCAGAACCCAGCACTCTCCTCCCAGCTCTGGGCACTTGTTCACCACCTGCCTTTGCGTCTCCCTTCTCGGTCTCGTCTCCCACCCGCTGCCTAGACTGTGGACTCTGGCTCTCTGGCTCTTTTTGTCCCCTCCCTCCTTCCTTCCCTCATCAAGATCCGCGGGTTGGCTGTAGCTGATCCCACCCTTAGAGGAGCCGCTCCTGTGCCCCAGTTCCACAAAGCCTTGCACTCTCCTTGGTCCCAGACACACGCCCCCTCCCCTCGCCTCCCTCCCCTCGCCTCCTCTCCCTCCCCACCCTTCCCCTCCCTCTCCTCCCCTCTTGCCTACCAAAGAGACAGAGCCCAGACAGCAGCAGCCTCATCACCACCGCCGCGACACAAGAATTCTCCATCTTGCAGGGGCTGGAGGGAGCCGCGGCCCCGGTGGCAGGCTCAGGGGCCCTTGGGGTTTGCCGGCAGCCTAGGCAGGGGAAGGAAGAGGGAAATGACAATGTCCTGGGGCCTCTAGTGTGGCACTTTCCCACAGAAGCGCCAGGCCGGGTGACACTGGGTCGGGGGAGGGGCTGTGCCTTGCCGGGGTTGTGAAACCACAATGGCTCAGAGAGGAAGTCTAAGCAGGTCAGAGACGTTTCCGGTGCCTTCCTGTGACTGCTGCTTCTGCCTCCTCGTCCCCCGCTTCCATCCAGCGCAGCACCTGAAGACAGGGACTTGTCAACCTGCTACCCGGTGATGGAATGCCACGCGGCCGGGACAAAGCAGGGCAGCTGTCTCTTGACCTTTGAACCATGACCCTGCTAAGCTGTTACAGAAAAGGATGAAGGGGCCAGCACTGTGGCGTAGCTGGTAAAGCCGCTGCCTGCAGTGCTGGCATCTCACAGGAGCACTGGTTCAAGTCGCAGCTACTCCACTTCTGACCCAGCTCTCTGCTATGGCCTGGGAAAGCAGTGGAAGATGGCCCAAGTCCTTGGCCCCCTGCACCCACATGGGAGACCTGGAAGAAGCCCCCGGCTCCTGGCTTCAGATCGGCTCAGCTGTGGCAGTTGCCACCATCTGAGGAGTGAACCCGCAGATGGAAGACTGACTTTCTTTCTTTCTCTCTCTCTCTCTCTCTCTCTCTCTCAACTCTGCCTTTCAAATAAATAATAAACCTTAAAAAAAAAAAAAACAGAAAAGGAAAGGATCAAGTTGCAGAATGGAGCATTTAATCATTAATTTTGGTTCCAAACAGCAGCAGCAACAACAACAACAAAAATACAAAGGATAGCAGAAAACACTCCCGGGGCCAGTGCCGTGGCGCACGAGGTTAATCCTCCGCCTGCGGCATCAGCATCCAATATGGGTGCCGGTTCTAGTCCCGGTTGCTCCTCTTCCAGTCCAGCTCTCTGCTGTGGCCTGGAAAAGCAGTAGAAGATGGCCCAGGTGCTTGGGCCCTGCACCCGCATGGGCAACCAGGAAGAAACTCCTGGCTCCTGGCTTCAGATCGGCGCAGCTCTGGCCATTGTGGCCATTTGGGGAGTGAACCAACGGAAGGAAGACCTTTCTCTCTGTCTCTCTCTCTCACTGTCTAACTCTTCCTGTCCAAAAAAAAAAAAAAAAAAAAAAAAAAAAAAAAAAGCCTGGGAAAAGAAAAAAACCTGATACACAGATGCTCAGCAGCCACCCATTCTAACCGCAAACTGGAAATGACCTACACATCATCAACTAATGAAGAGATAAACAAAACTTAGTAATATTATTCACCAACAAAAAAGAAAGGAGTGCTTGTTCATGCTATAATATGGATAAATCTTGGGGCTGGCACTGTGGCATAGCGGGTTAAGCCGCCTCCTGCCATGCCAGCGTCACAAATGGGCACCTGTCCATGTCCCGGCTGCTCCACTTCTGATCCAGCTCTCTGCTCTGGCCTGGGAAAGCAGTAGAAGATGGCCCAAAAGCTTGGGCCCCTGCACCTGCCTGGGAGACCCAGAAGAAGCTCCTGGCTCCTGGCTCCATAGACCAAGTTCCGGCTGTTGTGGCCATCTAGGGAGTGAACCAGCAGGTGGAAGACCTCTCTCTCTCTCTCTCTCTCTCTCTCTCTCTCTCTCTAGCTCTGCCTTTTAAATAAATGAATAAATCTGAAGAAGGAGAAGGGAACACAGGAGAAGGAAGACAATAAAAAGAAAGTAGATTCGTGGCTGCCAGGAGCGGGAGAGCGGGGACTGGAGGATGCCTATTTTGGGTGCAGGTTGCATTTGGGTGATGAAATGTTCTGGATCAGGTAGTGGTGGTGATTTACAACCTCACGGACAGATCCAAAGCCCCTGGGGCAGCCATTGTGGTGCCACGGGCTAAGCCACTGCTTGGGACTCCTGCACCCCATAATGCAGCGCTTAGGGTCAAGCTCCAGTTCTCTGCTCCCTATCTAGCTCCCTGGGGGACATAAGACGGTGGCCGAGTCCCTGCCACCCATGTGGGAAACCAGGGAGACCCAGATGGCGATCCTTGGCGGTCCTGGCCCCTGGCTTCAGCCTGGCCCAGCCCCGCTGTTGCAGGAATTTGGGAATTGAACCAGTGGATGGAAGATCTCTGTCACTCTGCCTTCCAGATAAATACATTTTAAAAAAAAATCCACTAAATTATACACTTTGAAATGGGAAGCTTTGTGGTATATAAGTTATATCCTAATGAAAAATAATAATACATGAAATTATACACATTTTTTAAAATTCTGGGAGTGGTTATGTCTGCAGAATGAGCTGTGTACAATTTCTACCTTGTCTGAATGTTTTTTAAAATGAGGATGCACACTCTACCATTTCAAAAAATATGATCACCATTTTTAAAGATTTATTTATTTTATTAGAAAGGCAGAGTTACAGAGCGAGAGAGGGAGAGCCAGAGACTGATCTTCTGTCCACTGGTTCACTCCCCAAATGGCTGCATGGTCAGGGCTGGGCCAGCTGAAGCCAGGAGCCAGGAGCCTCCCACGTGGGTGCAGGGGCCCAAGGACTTGTGCCAGGCCCCGCTGCTTTCCTAGGCTGTAGCAGAGAGCTAGATCAGGAGTGGCATGGCCAGGACTTGAACCAGTGCCCTTATGGGATGCCCGGTGTCGCAGGTGGTGGCCACTGTGCCACAGCACCAGCCCTCGTCTGGATTTTTTTTTTTTTTTTTTTACAATGAGGATGCACACTTCATCATTCCAAAATATACAATCACCATTTTAAAAACACACAGAGAAATATTAAAAACACAACAGAATAGAGGAACCGTATGTGCTTATGGGAAAGGACAAAGGACTTTCAGATTCTCCCAGAGCCATGAGAAAATCCCGCTCCAGCTGCAAGGTGCAAGGGTCAGGTCCAGCCCCCAGCCCCGCCCCCACCCCTGCCCCACCCCCCACCCCGCCCTGGCCCCCAGGTTGGGGTCCAGGGAGGCTTTTGCAGGCAGCTGATCTTTCCCAGGCAGAGCCGGGAAGCTACAGCTCGACCAGCCAGCTGTTGCAATTAGATGAGGTCAGATAGTCTTTTTCAGAAATTTCCGTTAAAATCAGATAATACATACTGATTTCTCTGATTTCCTGTAGAGCAATCCTAATTTACATCAAAGCAAATTCTGTTTTGTTCTGAAATTACAAAAAGAATATTATTTCAAGATGTCAATGCTCCAATTCATTTATCTTTAAAGATTTGTTTATTTTATTCAAAAGGCAGAGTTACAGAGAGACAGAGCCTGAGATCTGCCAGCCCTGCCCTGCCCCACCCCACCCCACACCACCACCCCCCACACAACACCACCCCACCACATCCCACCACCCCAACCCACACCACCCCACTTTCCCATCCCTTATTTTTTTTTTAAGAGTTATTTATTATTGAAGACAGTACAGAGAGAGGTCACTCCCAGATGGCTGCAACGCTGGAGCTGCTCCGAACCAAAGCAGAGCAAGAGCTTCTTCTTGAGCCTCCATGCAGGTGCAGGGGCCCAAGGACTTGGGCCATCTTCTACTGCTTTCCCAGGCCATAGCAGAGAGCTGGTTCTAGAACCGGTGCCCATATGGGTTGCTGGTGCTTCAGGATTTAACCCACTGTGCCAGCCCCCATCCCTTAAATTTAAGAATCTAAATCCCCCAAATAATCGCCATTAACAACTGAAGCCAAATGTTCTCTATGAAAAAAAATATAATTACCTCTACATGTTAGCCATACAAGGCTGAGTTACTTGGAGGGATTACCTGAGCCTTCCAGCCCAGAAGTAACAGGCCAGGCAGCCCCAGTGTCAAGGGTTCCCTCAGGCTACCTTCAAAATCCTGATGCTTGAGCCAGAGTTTATGCAGACCTAAGTGTGACAGCAGACAGAAAAGGAGTAAAGGAAGAAGCCTGAGAACCTCAGGCTAGTATTGAAAAAACAATAGAAGATAACATTGTAAGGAAACAACAGTCCAGCAGCAGGGATCACAGTGCACCTGTAGCTGCAGGCCCTTCTTAGTTAGGGTGACCGCTGTCTGTGAGGGAGCTGCAGGCAGGACAGCCACGGGCTGTCCATTACACTATGGATGAAACAGGAAGCATCCTTGTAACTGCTGTGTTTCCTCAGTCAGAGTGCGTTTTCCATGGTCCATGAGGTTTTCCCAGGTAGGTGATTTGCATCTCTGGGTGGAGCTTGGGAGCTGATCTGCTTTATCCTAGGGGACTTCAGCAAACGCTCTGAGGCCACCGTGCACCGTGCTATTTCCGTCCATTTGGGCTGCTCTGACAGTCTGAGCCCAGAGCATTTGTGAAGGATAGAACAGGGGAGGTCCAAGTTCAGGTCCCCAGCAGGGACTGATGAGGGCTCTGCCTGTGCCAACTCCCTGCGTCTTCCTCAGGCCACACCTCTATGCCCTACTGTGCTGGGGCTGAAGCTTCAGTGTGAAGTTGGAAGGGAGAGAAGCCTTCAAACCCTAGCATTCTGCCTCTGGCCTCTCCAAGCTCATGTCCTTCCCACAAAATATATTCGTTCCTTCCCCATGTTCTCGAAAGCCCTACCTGCATCCGGCATCAGCTGCAAAATCCAAGTCCAAAGTCTCATCTGAATCCCATCCAAATCAGGCTTTGGTGAGATTCAAGGTGTGAGGCATCCTGGGGCAAATTCGCCCTCTAGCTGGGAGCCTGTGGGGTCCCACAAGTTCCAGGGCACCCCGGTGGGACAGGCGGCGAGAGGCTGCAGTTTCAAAAAGGCGAAATAGGAAAAATGAAAGCGAAACAGGTCCTGACCCAATACAGAATCCAACAAGGTGAGCATTAGATCTTTTTTTAAAAAAAAATTATATATTTATTTGAGAGGTAAAGTTACAGAGAGAGTGAGAGAGAGAGAGAGAGAGAGGTCTTTCATCTGCTCGTTCATTCCCCAAATGGCCACAACGGCCACAGCTGGGCCGATCTGAAGCCAGGAGCCAGGAGCTTCTTCCAGGTTTCTCATGCTGGTGCAGGGACCCAAGAACTAGGGCCATCTTCCACTGCTTTCCCAGGCACATTAGCAGGGCGAGGTTAGAAGTGGAGCAGCCGGGACTCGAACCAGCACCCGTATGGGATCCTGGCACTGCAGGCGGTGGCTTTACCTGCTATGCCACAGTGCTGACCCAGCATTAGATCTTTTTTAAAAAAACATTTATGTATGTATGTGTGTATGTATGTATGTGTGTAGGTATGTATGTGTGTATGCACGTGTGTGTGTGTGTGTATGTATTTGAAAGGCAGAGAGGTACCAAGAGTGGGAGAGTGAGAGATCTTTGATCTGCTGGTTCACTCCCCAAATGTCTACAATAGTCAGGGCTGGGCCAGGCTGAAGTCGGGCACCTGGAACTCCATCTGGATCTCCCATGTGGAAGTCAAGGACCTAAGCACTTAAGCTTTCCCCCTCTGCCTTCCCAGGTGCATTAGCAGGGAGCTGGGTTGGTAAGCAGAGCAGCCAGGACTCAAGCTGGCACTCTGCTAAGGGATGCTCGCGTCTTAAGTGACAGCTTCACCCGCCCGCACCACCACAACACCGGCCCTGCATTATATCTTAAGGTTCTAGAATAGTCTTTGACTCTACAGCCTACCTTCTGGACATACCGAGGTCAGGGTTGAGCCTTGAGGTCCTACTTGGGTACCAGCTGTGTAGCGTTGGTCACAGGTAGGAGCCACACGTCCGACCAAGGCTGCAGTTACGAGCTGTGGTTCTGCCCGCCTGTGTCCCGGGGCAGCCCCGCCCCTCTGCTCCACGGGGCATTGCTCTTGTGGAGTTCCCTTTAATGCCTCGGCTCCACGCTCTAGGGACCCAACACCTGTGGCTGGTTCTCGGCCAGGACATCCTTGGCAAGTTAGGTTGGAGGTAGCCACGCCCCCACAGCTCAGACCACCTGGGCATCCACAGAGCCGGCAGCGCGTGGACGCTACCAGCGTGTCTGGCCTATGCCCTCTGCAGTGGTGGCCTGAGCCACACCTGGGTGCATTTGCTGCTGGGATGAATGGAGCAGAAACTGGAGGCTGCCCTAGGCAGCAAGCCCTGGGGCCCCCCTGATGCCCCGGGCACCTCCCTTGAAGCCATCCTGTCCTCCGGGCCCTGCACTCTGGGCCTGTGATGGCAGTGGCCTGTGAGGAAAGGCCTTCAGCGCCACCCTCACATCATCTCCGTGAATAGCGCCTGCTTCCTGCTGTCTCTACTAACCTCCTCATCAAGCATCCCGGGAAGCAGGTGGAGGCTTTACCGCTATGCCACAGCGCAGGCCCCATCCTCCACTTCAGGGAGCTGGGTCGGAAGCAGAGCAGCCATAGCAGGTGGTGGCTTTACCCGCTATGCACCGCCGCCGCCCAAAGCCTCGTGTCTTCAGACTTTCACCTTGGGGTATAAGCTCCAACATACAAGTTTTGGAAGAAAGCGTACATTTATGTCATAACCATCTGTATTTTTTCTCTCCCTCTGTCTTTGAGAACTGCAAGGCTGAGGGAGCTACCAGGTACCAGGCAGTCTCCAAAATTCTAGAAAGTCAGGGGCTCAAGCAGGAAACAGCAGGTGATTCCCCTGAAGAATGTGTCGGCAAAGATCACGGGCTGGGACCACACGGGGAACTCCTACGCACGCACACGTGCACACACACGCTCGTGCACACTCGCACGCATGCACGTGGACACATGGGGAATTCTTGAAGCAGGCTGTGCCCTACACATGCATGCGTGTACACACACATGCATGCATGGACAACACATGGGGGATTCCTGATGCAGGCTGCATACACACACACACACACACACACACACGGCTGCGGTCTTCCTTAGAGACACTGGCTGCCTTCATAACTTAGCCCATCAGTTCTTTGCGGACCCAGTCTTCTGAGCTAGCTGTTGCTTGGGTCTGATCTCTGTCGCTTCTTACCGGGGCTGTTTATTGCCCTCATAACTCTCCCTCCCCCGAGTCTCTGTTCCCTGGGGAAAGTTCTACCTTTCAGGTACTGCTAAATGAATGTTGAGAGACCCAAGAATGGCTCTCTTGTTTTTAAGGAGTAGGTGGGCTTTCTTAAGATTTATTTTATTTATTTGAAAGGCAGAGTTACAGTGAGAGGGGGAGAGACACACAGAGTTACAGGGGCAGGGAGCAAGAGAGAGAAAGAGAGAGAGAGAGAGTGTGTACCATCTTCTGGTTCACTCCCCAAGTGGCCACAACAGTCAGGCCTGGGCCAGGCTGAAGTCAGGAGCCTGGAGCTTCATCTGGGACTCCTGCATGGGTGGCAGGAGCCCAAGGACTTGGACCATGTGTCCCTGCTGTCCCAAGTTCATTAGCTGGGAGCTGGATGGGAAGTGGAGCAGCTGGGACTCCAATTGGCCCCTAAGAGGTGCTGTGGCTTAACCTGCTGTGGCTTAACGTGCTGCACCTTAACATTGGCCCTGAGAATGTCTCTTAAAACCTCTGACAAGGGGTGGGCATTTAGCCTAGTGGTTAGGACATCCATTCCCACATTTGAGTACCTGGGTTTAATT